AAAAAAAAAAAGAGGAAAAGAGGGTGGCCACTGGAGAGCTTCATCAATGGCTTGTCGGTGAAAGAAGAAAAAAGAGCTTTTTAGGGAAATTTTCGGTTTTGGCAGAATGGGAGAGATAGCTTGTTATTAGTGACTTCAATATTCACCTAAACCCACATATTAAGATTACTACAGTTTGAACATTATTTCAACCCTCCATGGAAATAAGCCATTATTAGTTTAATTAATGTAAAACATATTCTTATAATTAATTATAGTTTAATTTCCATAAGTTGTATATATTAAGTTGTAAATATTTAAGTTATAAAGTATAAAAGGTTTTAAAACTATTAATTTTAACATTTTTTTTGTTTCTTAAAGCATGGCGGAGGAAATTTTAAAAGTCAATGGAACTTTTTTGTTTCTTTGAGATAAATCGTACAACAATAATTGTAATGAAAAATATTATATACAAAAACTAAGTTTTTAAGATCTTTGAAATCTGCTTTGCAAGAATTGAATTCCTTCTTTTTTTTTTTTTCTTTTAAAATCAATAAAGAAATTAGTAAAATCTGAAATCAAATTATGTATGAAAAATTGAAATCAAATTCGAATTGGATCAAATGAATTCAATTTTATTTAAGTATAAAATTTTAGCTTAAATTTTCTATAATCGAGAAAAATCAAATTTTATGAAATTATAAATCTAAACTGAACCGATGAACCGCGGAAGAAGAAAAAAAAAAGAGAAAAATACATAATAGGATTGACGAATTTTTGGGTGATGATTAGAGCAGAGAGTAATAGATTCTCGCAATGGCTAAAGAAAATCTGCTAATTTAGCATTTTTGGGGTTGGTGTTGGTGTAACTTGTAAACCCAACAACTTATTTTGTTAAATAAAATAAAAGATTTATTGTATTATTTTTTATTATAGAATTAAAAATGGGATTAAGCGTGCGCGTTAAAGGTGATGATGGTGTAGGGGCGGAGGCCTCATCCATTATATTAGATTAGATGCATTAATTGCTTAATTGGAATAATCAATTGTTAATTAGTGAACCGCAAGGTTAACACCTCAACCCTTTCTCTTTGTTGTAGGGTTTGGTGTTATTAATTATTTGATAGCTTAGCTACACAACACCAAAATTTAAAAACCCTATATATATATATATATATATATATATTATATATTTCTTTGTTCCTTTTCACTTCTTCTCTATCTCTCTCTTCTTCTCTAAGGTTGTAGTTGGATTCCTTTATTCGAAGCAATTTTAAAAATATAATTCCATATCCGAATCCAGCCCAAAAATTTTCAGATACCCCACCCACCTTCAGAATCAAATTGGGTCCAAGTAAAAATCAGGTCCGGAATTAATATCATTTTATACAAAAAGCAATAATTAAATTGTGCTGGAACAAAGCAAAGAAATATTCAATAATTTTTAATATAAATTACATAAATTCATACACAATAATAATTATGCTGGAAACATAAAGCTTAATCCCATAGGGCTTAAAATCAAACATTAATGTGGGAAAGAAAAATAATTAAAAGGCAACACATGAAGGATGTAATTATATGATATGAACTTAGTTTGATAATTTTTGTAAAGTTCTAGAATTAGCATTAATGCAAAAATAAAGAAAGAAAATATTGCATATTTCAGCAAATATAAAAAATTCATTAATGAATCTGCAGAGAAGAAGACCGACTTGAAATTGCATCATATAATGTTAAAATTAGAAAAGAGGAAGCAAGATAGGAAAGACAATAGAAGAAATAATTTAGATTTCAAGAGTTAACCGTTGTATAAAAAGAAAGAGAGCAGGGAGGGAGCCGCTCAACTATTATCCTTATTTTTTTTTAGGGGCTGCAAGTTATTTTTTGCCATATTAATCCACAAAAATATCCTTTTCATGGATTCGGGGTTAATGGATCGACGTCACCCATGGCCTAAATCCGTGTAAATCAAGCCAAAACCTGAGTCGGTATTTTTTGGGAAATTTTTTAAAACGTCATATCTACCAAGGCCAATAAATAGAGTGGGTTTTTATTCAATTCAGTCGATCAATAGGGTCAATGTTTAGGTCTCCCATCGAGCAAGTCATTTTGAGCATCTTGTTTTCTCCTTCCATAGAGGCAAAACTTAGGGTTGTATTGAGGTTTTTATATTGGTTCTCTTTCCACAAAATTTGTGTAATGGTTTTTTTTTATTGGTGAAAATGAAAATTTGGGGCTAATCGATAAAAATTTGGAAAATGTAGGTCCCCCGCCACATTGCTAATTGACATTTTTTCTTTAAAAATTCGAAACAAACGCAGGTCATATCTAATGTGACAAATTTTTTCTTGCAGTTAGGTTGGAATGGCAATATGACATTATACTGCTTCGAGATACAGAATATTAAATAAGTTCTTCCTTATATAATTAAAAATTCAAAAATTTCCCCAAAACGAATATTTCGTTTATTCATATGGTATAGTATTTATACTTACATTTAAATTCTTACTCTCTGCGTCTTATTTTGGTTCTCTGAGGATTATGATAATAGAGAGGAATATAGATAGTAGTTTTATATACTTATCCATCCGTATCCCAAGATTAACTTGTTTTTTACATTTTGAAATTTTCCACAATATCCAAAAACCAAATTAGAAATTTGTTCCCTAAAGTTTACAATAAATTTTATTGAGTACAGAGTTAAGTTGTATTACCCTATTTAATATATCTAAAACACCAAAATGTTTTGAAAAAATTGAGAGCAATAAGTTATGGTCATATACAAGGGTAAACCATTTGAAAAAAAAGAAATTTATAACTGTTTGAAATTTGCAAATTGTGGACCATAGCATTTTGGAAAACATAGTTTAAGTCTTAGCTATGGTGACAAAAGTACTCACCCATCTGTCCATCACTTACCGATTCGTTTAAGTTTTGCTGAGAAATTAAATAGATTGATGGCTAGTTTCAAATGTATTGTCCTTATTTACCATTTAAATGTATAGATAAGTTGCAAAAGACACTACTTCATAAAAATAAGTCTTTCCACTTGGCTTTTGGAGGAAGAAAGATAACTAGATTATTGGTCACAAATTACTACTTGAATTTTATAGCTTATAGTTAGATCGGGAGAGATCTGCAGATTCAATGTGAGGATTGTGAATGTAAAACTTTTGCTTTCATTAATCTCCTTATGTAGAACCTTTAAACGACTTACTTATCTAGGACATAAGGAAGGTATTTTTAGGAACCGACGTGAGTTTACGAAACTATAATTTTTTTAACTTATTTTTTCCTAATGGATGCATTTTTATGTTGTAAATAAGTCCCCATTGAAAAAAGATTAAAATTGCTTTTCGTATTAAATTTGTTTTCTTGAAATTAGTGCAAACCATTCTGGATTAAGTAGAAGTTTCTCATTGAAAATAATTTAAAACGGTTGTGATACTGGTTTAAATCTTGTGTCAGTTTTTGTACATCAAGAAATTTAATTAATGATAAATATGAGTTTTATTTGAACTAATTAGTATAATTTAATCTTGACAAAGAAGAAATATTACCTGAAATACAAAAGTAAAATATAATAGCTAACCTTTAAGATATATTACGCTCCTCTGTTCTCCGAGTAAAATATAGAGTCCACAAGGAATTAAGGAAGTAATTAATTCTCCTAAATTATAGCACACTCAAGAAGTCAATTTGATCAAGATTATCCCTTTTAATCTCAAGAACCAACTAGTTGTTATGCGAAAAATATTTATTGTATTTAGTGTAGAGACCAAGAGCAAACTAATTGAAAAAAAAACATTTATTTATTAACTTCTGAAAAGTTACACAAAACGACTTATATTTTAGGAAAAAATAACAAATAAAAAAAAGACTATATAATTTTGGGACGAGAGAAAGTAATTTCAGCTTCTTTAAAAAGGAAACATAACAAACTTAAGATGGATAAAAAAAAGGAAAAGTAAGGGTAACAAAAATTTAACAATGGATTATAATTTTAAATTTTAAATAATTTGAATATAACAACTAAATAGTGTTTTATTATTTTTGTTTTTGCTAGATAAAATTCCAAATTGGCGCCAACAAGCCCTCCGACAAATCAACTGAAAGGCAAAAAGAAGAATTCATGTCCCCGTCAAAGAAAAAAAAAAAAAAAAAAAAAAAAAAAAAAAAAAAACAAAGAAGTCAGGTGTAATTGATTTTTTCCCCTTCTCTAACAATACAAATGCTCAGCATCCAAATTTTGGAAAACTAACAGAAATTTATGGTGGTTTGTTGTTGAAACAAAAAGCCCCCCCTTTCCCAAATAGTAATCTGCGGCAACAAAATGGCCATTTGAATATACCAAAAAAAAAAAAAAAAAAAAAAAAAAAAAAAAAAAGAATTCATGTATGATTTTTTCCCTTCTCACAATCAATGCTACACCAATTTGGAAACTAACAGAAATAATGGTGTTGTTGACAAAAGCTCATAGTATCCGGCACATGCCATTGATATAAAAAAAGTGGGCCAAATAATAAATACATCCATATTTTTTTCACAAAAAAATCTTATGACATGATTTTTCAAATTTTATAAGTTTTGAAATAATAATTTTTATGTTTTTCAATAATCTAATAATAATTTATTATCTAATTTTATAAGTTGGAATGTTCAATAGAACTGAAACTTAACTTAGAGTGTTTAACCGATCATAGTAAGAGTTAAGATGTCAAAATAAAAGTTGAAATGGTGTAACAAGGTATTTTGTGAATAATACAAGTTTGGAATTATGCATTTGGCAGAAAAAAGTGACATGAAACTCAACTAGCTACTTTTTTCTATAGTGTGGTATATTCCATAATATAAGGGGGGAAGGCAATAAGAAGAAAGAGAGAGAAAAGTATCATACAAGAAACTTCCTCTGCCCTACATTTTAGCAACTCTGATGATTGCCAACATGATTGTAAAGGGCCTTAAAATTCTACCATCAATTCTTTAAAGATAATATTTTTCATAGAACATATGGACCCTTGAAAAAAACAAAGTTAAAGGCAATCATTAATCCAAGATCTAAACCCACGAAATGATGTGCATTACATCTTTATATTGGAGTCCACCATAGCTAGCTACCAAGTACACAATATATATCATGCTGGATTTAAACAAGCAGCCTCAAACTAAATGTGAGGTTATCTAGATATAGACAGTCAACAGCAATAATTGATAAATAATATTAGAAAACAGATATATATAGGCATGGCCAAGACTCAGTATCAAAACACAAACCAACTACTTGGAACCCAAACCTGATGGAACCAAAAAAAGAAAGAGCCGAAACCGAGACGAAAACCCATTGTTTGGAACCAAGGATTTGGTTCCAGTTCCAAAACAAGATGCGCATGATGAACTAGAAGGATTTGTTTCTCAGAAGGACTTGTTTCTCTTGTTTGGTTTCGAATTGTGGTCAAGTCCACACAGCCACCCACAAAGTTAAGCTGCATCTAAGAGTAGGAGTTGGGATTTAATCTCATTAGTAATAATTTCCTTAATACCATAAAAAAAATATAATATCGAAAAAGGTGCATGTCGCATGTGCAAACACAAAATTTAGCAGCAACTATCCCATTTGGATTATTAATTTATAATATCATTGACGTTTTTCCTTTTCCTTTCCCTGAGTTATTTGGAGAAAGGCCTAGATGTGGAAGGCATAAACCCCACCTCCAATTATTTGTTGGTTTACCAACTTAACTAACTCCACTTGATTTTGTTGGTACCAATACCAACTGTGAACGTGTATCAGAAAATAAAACTCTCAAGCACCAGAAGGTCCAACAAGAACTATATATCATAATATCATGCTTCAGATCTACTATAATTCCATGGAAGAAGCAGTTGCAAGTAAAACAAAGCACAGAGTCCTATAAGAGGAATCTAAGAAATGAATGAAAAGTTATATTGTTTTGTTTTGGATCGTTCAGGTCATGTATGAAACCTTGAAATGAACTTGCCTACGAGGCTTTTGCCTCACAAGATGCAGTTCAGGTTAAAATAAAGGACGAGTTCATAATAGAATCCAAGAAAGGAATGAAAAGATAGTTTTGTTTTCAGTGACAATAATCAAATGAAATGGCAAAGATGTGTCATGCAGACGATACAGAAAATTATTGGAAAAATTGACAATGAGAATGCAGAAGTATGTTATGTTCAAGCATAAAACCAGCCAGTGATAAGACAGCTCAATTCTTGATGTCAGGGCCTAGGACTCCAACCAAAAAGGCTAACTTAATAGATCAAGATAACCAACTCACTTACAAGCCCAATACCCACCATATCTCTTATGAGTGATATGTGACATTGATCACCCCCACTAAAAAATTTCAGGTACTCGGGGGTGCAAAATGATCACTGTACACAAAATGATTGCGACATAATCCTTATCACTTGATTAGATGGTACATACCTCCAAAACAATCATTTTTTCACTGCAAAGGTTCGGTTACACAACACTGACATGGACAGGGATGACCTGCTCATTGAAAAACTTATTTTTGACATTAAAATGCAGAGATTTACTAATGTTTAACTACAGAGATATAACATGAAGCAGTATAGGAAAAGATGAAGCGTCACATATCTGAGATATTTACCAAAAGAAATTTTGTTTAATTAGTAATCATGGTCTACAGGGTTTAGGAGCATTGATGAGTTGGGCCTGCTGATGGATCAGGTGACAGTAGAAACAGAGGCTTCAGCTGCAGAATTACGAGCCACAAATGACTCAACAAGCGGGTTCACAAGATGAGGTGCTTCGTCCTTCAAGTAAATCAACAAATGGATCTCATAAGATATTGCTGTCTTAAAAACCAAACTCATCATATCAACAGTTAGTTAATATGCTCAACAATTAGTTAATAAGCTTATCTGCAATTTGGAACAATTCACTATTTGATTCCAACTGCATTCATGGAAGAAAAGATGCACGTGTCTTCACACCAAATTCATCACATATGGCAAGAACTTAACATGTTCAACAGTCCATAAACTCTTGAAATCTGAAAACCTCTATAAAATGTTTTGTTTTTCATTACATTTTTCTAGCATGCAAACTAAGTGAGCAGACTAGCAGTTGAAAATTTTAATGGCAGAGAAACACCCAAAATACAGCAGTGAATAAGAACTTTATCTTTGGTGGGGCCAAGCAAAACTTGAAATACTATCATATGGACCATGGTACAGGTAATCAATGCAACACTTTCCCCATATAAAACACAGTGCTTGAAATTTTTAAACAGTATTTACCTCCTTATTTGGTATAAATGGATTTGAAGTATAGAAATCATTTATTAAATAATAGGATTCGGTTTAAGTAGGTTTGATTGAATTTGAGTAAAATGAAGATTTTTATTTATACTACACATTAAAAAAGATTGATATTTCAAATGAATTCTATAAAATTTTGTGGATTTTTTTTATACCAAACAAGGGCTTAAGTGCATTCATGTCAGTCATTTACACAGCAGAAACTCAGACACGGAATTGAAGCTCCCACAGATGTGCTGTGTCAGTATTAGAATCCAAATGTGTACTGCTTTTTTGATTCATGAACATCTTTTTTTTAAAACGAAAAAAAAAAAAAGATTAACCAAGACTCAGTATTAGAATCCAAATGTGCACTGCTTTTTGATTCATGAACTTTTTTCCTTTTAAAGATGAATCAAGAGTTCACAAGTCGGTAATTTCTTTGAGCCATTTACGTAAATAATACTCAAAAAAGAAACTAGAGATCTTATTCAATTATCAGTTTGATTTCAATGAGAAATTTTTAATAATTATTTTTGAACTTCAATTTTGTTAATAGTTAACTGTATGGACTGATCAATACCCCAACTATTACAGATTTGACAGTCCTAGATTTAAAGCTCGTTCAGAATCTCAAATGTAATATGTTGTTCATCCTTTAGCTAGTGGAAAATCATGCAAGAACAATCTGAAATGCAACTTATTTCCAGATATTACTAACTTCCTACCCTTTCTACAGACCCCTATCACTTTAATGAAGAACTCACTTTTCTGCTACTGAAACAGAGGTGTGCAGGCAAGGTACTTCGGTTTTTTAACATTAAAGATTCATCTTTCATCATCTTTGGTGAAACCTCCAACTGAAAATGTTATATTTAGACATGTTCTTTTGAAATTTGGTGAAACCTCCAACTGAAAATGTTATATTTAGACATGTTCTTTTGAAATTTGGTGAAACCTCCAACTGAAAATGTTATATTTAGACATGTTCTTTTGAAATTTGGTGAAACCTCCAACTGAAAATGTTATATTTAGACATGTTCTTTTGAAATTTGGTGAAACCTCCAACTGAAAATGTTATGTGTGTTGCATTGGATCCTCAAACTATTTGAGGGGCTCAAAAACAGAAACTTGAAAAGTTCAAGGGTTCTTCAATGTACTTCTCCAATTTTAATTGGCGAGAAGTTTATTAGTTATGGTCCCAAGTTTTGTGTAGTTATTGGTTTATTTGATTGACCATAAAATTAGAATTAGGCTCGTTAGAGATAACCTACAATGTCTTAGAGGTCGATTAAGAGAACTCAACTATCTCTGAGCTCAAAAGCAAAGACCAGACAACTACCCACTACAATAATGTAAATCAAAACTACCCAGTAGTAACCACACACTCACAAAGAGCCTGATTCCCACCTTATTAGCCAAACCTGAGAAAAACAGACAATAAATACTAAAAGCAACCACCCCGAGGCTCCCTACCAGTATTTGTTCTTGAATTAGATTGTCGTTAAATATGCAATTTGCTTGGCTTTTCTCTCGCTATACTTGCCATTCAGTGGTGGTAACTGGCCTCTCTCTCTCTCTCTCTCTCTCTCTCTCTCTCTCATTTGTTTAGGCTGTTTGGCAAAAAAGAATTAAGGCACACAAGGGAAAACCTGAGAGTCCATGTTTAGAAAGCAACAGAATATTTGTTTACTCTTTTTTCTCTTCCTTCATACGAATTATGTGTGGTAATGTAATAATTTCAATTTGAAGGAGCAATCATATACAAATATTTCTACAAATGATGTGTTATTTATATACTACAATTTTTTGTTATTTGGAAGAGCTACTGAGTTTATGCCCATAACTTAAGCCTTTTGTTTACAGTTTACCCATATGAAAGAACTTCAAGATTGTTGGGCAGGCAATAGTCCCCAAGTGGCCCCTTCTATCCCTGCTAGTACTAGGCGAGGCCATCAAACCATTGATGCATGTGATGTGGAAATTCCATTCCAGAGTATCCATGACATATTATATAGAACATAAATAACACTGAAAGAATGCCCACATGCTTGTGCAGTTCATGTATGGTGTGAATTTGTGCAGGCATGTAGAAAAGAAAGAGAGAGAGACCTGCGGACAGTGGCCAACATTAGGGAGTACAACAAAGTTCTCAACAGGATCAAAATTCCCATACATTCTGCCAAGCTCAATTGGTTCCCATGGATCCTTGTCACCCCATGCTACCAGAACAGGACACTGTAAAAACACAGAGGCAAGAATGCATGAAGTAGAAGTACAATCTGTGCAGGGAACCACTGGTTCTAGTCCTCCCAGAGGAGGAATTGGGACTGGCCTTTTTCTTTTCTTATTTTTCTCGGCTCAAATGGCAGGTCCCAGCTGAAATGGCCAGTTCTGGTTCCAATGTTTGGAACCTGGAACAGCCCTAGACCGGCTGGTTCTGCTCCAGTTCTGGTCAAGAAATGGCCCAGTGGCCATGACAATATACAAAATTAAAATTAAAATTTCTCAAGCAAGATAAAACGTTCAAATTTTAATTTAAAAAACTGACCTTCACCTGAGGCAGTAGATCCTCAGGTAGAGGACCTGCTGAGTAACAAATAAAATCAAGAAATACATCCACAGCACCAGGTTCAAGTCCTGGAAGAAGAATCTTCTGAACAAGTTCCTCTGTCACCTGGGAGGTGTCATAGTAACACTGCAATGCAATATACGACAAGCAATGTGAACAAGGACAGTAGATGGCTATATTTTCGTTTTCTTTCTTTCTGTTTAGTCTTCCTCTTTTTCTTCTTTATTTTATGTTGGCCTACAATCAGTTGTGGGTCAATTGTGTTAATAGGTTTAATATTTTTTATGGTGTGACTTTCACATTTTTCCAAGTTATATTTATTTCTTTTGACATTTTAAAATTGTGCTGCCATTTTCAATCTCTAATTTTAACCATTATTAAAAACTAGCACCAGTGACTTTGTGATCTCAATACTTTACAAAAGATTGTTACGCCTAACAGAGGGCATATCATCACAGCCACACACAAAGATGCAACATAAAAAAAATTAGTATTTGCAATCCAAATGTAGTTGCTTATGAGAGGAAACAGAATGATTTATCATAGAATACCTGGCATAGGATGCTCCTCACAGATTCTGATGTTGCAATTGATTTGAAGAAAATTTTTCCCAGAGGGGTGTTCCTGCACACTAGCATGATAATCTTAAATTCAAAGGTGGTAGAAACAAAACTCTAATTAACAGAAAGCATTTCAGTATTACCTCAGCAAACTCTGGAATGATCTGATAAACGGTCTTGCAAACAATGGTTGCTTTTTAATGTGAAGCATACGCAAAGATATATTTAATAGGATAATGCCTCTGCATATGTGTGGCTCCATAACTGCAGCCTGAAGACCAACAAGTCCTACAACAAGCACAGAAGGGCAGAGGCAATATGTTACAATCACTTTGAATTTCTGGATAAAATTTTGAGTATGTCACCATTTAGGCCTCCTTTGGAAGAATTAGTGTCAAAAAGGAAAATAAAGTTGGTATTTATGAGGTGCATTAACACGTAGAAACCACATAATTTCAAAGATTCTTCTTGTAAAACTCAATGAAAACATGAAATGTCATTTCGATGAGAATCATAGAATATTAGAGATGATACCACCATGAACATGAGCAGTGCTAGAAAAAATTGTGGGGAGACAATCAAAACTTTTTAAAATTTTAGGGGCCCAAATAATTTTTTATATTTTGAGAGTCAAAATGGATTTTTCATAAGGCAAATTTTTTTTAAAAAAAATTTGTTCAGGCCTAGGGCCTCCTTAGGTCTCTATATAGCTCTGCACCTGACCATGAACCTTTTTCCTCTCTCTCTCTCTCTCTCTCTCTCTCTCTCTCTCTCTCATGTTAAAGCAGGATAAATACCACTCTTACAGCAGCTGAGAACTTCCGTTATGAAAATTACAAGACAGCATATAAAGCTTTACGAACTTGAGACTGTTTCTTTTATATCAACTTGTACAAAGAAAATATTAGATAGCAGGGCGCGATTTGTTATTTAAATATTATACGTAGAACAACCTCTATTTCCTTTTTAAGCTAAAAGCTATATGCAATGGCCTAGAGAATTTCTAATTTAACTTTTCACCATTTTACCTCTTTAATTGTTGATTGTCTTTCTGAAAATAGGAGTAAATATACTACGTTGAAACTATGCAGTGAAATATAATGGAAGAAATTGACATAATAGCCAATTGGATTCATGGAAGACCCAATGACACTTCAAAACAGCACAAATGTGCAATGTTTTGCACTTTAACTGATAAATTGAAATTGAGTTAGTCAAAGCATATTGAAATACAAGTTTATCTAACAGCAGCTTCACTGCCATCCGATTTTAGCTAAGTTAGAGCATTTTTTAATTCATATGAACTTATTCTGGGTATGAAAGTGATAAAATACTTTTTAAAAGAATACATTCTCAAGCCATATTAGATATGGACCATAAATTTACAGATATTATTGAACATATCACATGTAGTTGCCTAAAAATTTTTCCAGGAATGTATCAAATTATCAACAGTTACAAGGCATTCACTAGTAAGTGTCATAGTCATTTTCTATTTGTTAGCAATCAATCAACTACAAGGAAAACAATCAGTTAAGCAAAGAAAGTGACAAGTTAGAACCCATCTAGATGTTGTCAAAAAAAAAAAAAAGTAAAACTCATCTAAATAATCCAGAACATCAAGATGGTACCTCCAATTGAATTGCATACAAAGAATGCTTTGTCTTTAATTACGTTGACACAAAAGTCATTTAGTATGGTGCCCCACGTCTCAAATGTATAGAAGGAGTTATCTTCAAAATCACGAGGATTAGGTTTATCTGAGTATCCATAACCAATAAGATCAATTGCATATACCCTATGTGATTTTGCAAGAACGGGAATATTTTTTCTCCAATGATCACTGTAAAGAACAAGAAGTGTGTTACAACTACTGAACTTAAAACACCTTAACTGCAGAACAAAGGAATAAGAAAATCAAGTACGTAAGACTATCATCAGCAAATATATATATACACATCACGAGACGTACATAGTAACTTTTAAGAGACCAAGTCTATCCACAGTTGCTTGGGAAAAACATTGAACAGCCATATAATTTTCATTTCATTATCCATGAACCATGATCCACTAATGGTTATCGCAAGCTATCTGAAACCTTTTTAAGTGACATATAGACAGGAAACATCACCTCAGGAAGCATCAAAGAATGACTAAAATCAGACTTGAACAAACTCCAGAACTCAAGAAAACCCAAATTAGCACTCTTTTCCTCTCTTCAAGAGGTGTAAGCTTCTCATCTATTTTAAAGCAGAATTATAACTTATTTTCTTTAGCAGTAAATCCATATTGTAAAAAACAAGGTAATTACTTATGACAGCTCAAAGTACGTCTGAGGTCCTGAGTCAACTTCTCAGTTGAGCATATAATTTTGAATTTTCAAATTACATGCAAGCGTGCTCTAAGAATAACTATGATAAATTTACGCTATTGTGCATGAGTTTAAAAGCCAAAGAAAATTAGAAGTATGTTTCCACATGCATAGGTTCCACTAACATATCCCACACAATTACTAACTCTAGATTGAATCCCAAGTTGTTGAAGTATGTGGGCAATCCCACATTGGATAAATACACATTAAGTAAATGGCATATAATGAAGAGGGTGAACCAACCAAAATGGCTTAGGTCATTTTGTGTTAAAGGTAAGCCCAACTCATTATAAACTCAAATATTAAATGAATTACTACTTGAATTTGATTAATTTGCTCCTAGGACCCAGATTCTTAGCACAAGTGCCTTTATTACATGCACAAAAAGTAACTCTAAAAGGAGATTTTAGAGTTTTTGATGAAACTATACTCTATGATCACCAAGCTTTCATTCTTCAGCACCATCCCCGTACATATATTAATCTAATAAGGCACAAATGTGTGTTCTTGCTTTTATTCCCCCTTTTCTCTTGTTGTGTTCAGCAGTCACCTTACCTAATTCAATATGCAGCATGATAGAGCTTTGGCTTTCTTTTAATTATGGTTTTGCAATGTCAAGATGAAAATTCAAAATACAAGGTTTAATGGCATAAATAACTAAGGCATCTAACAAGTAAAGATGCAAGCCAATGCTATCGCAATCAAAGCTGTTATAAAGATCTGGTTCCTAAATTCACAAGATAACTAAGTCTTTGAGATCAATGCTTTTTACCTTTATCTTGTATGCATACATACGAGAAGATTGTATATACTGATAAGTTGACATTATACATCCAAAAATGATAAAACAGAATTATATCAATGCATGGTTTTTTAATTAACATATTTTACAACAAATGTGACGAACACCAAACTAGATAGGATAACATGTGAATGAAAATTTTTAGTTTTGAATTTCAGTGAAACACAGTCAATGTTAGGGCCATGGAAGCCCAAAAAGTCAAACAGTATTTTTGCAAGGCCTTGTCAGGGAAGCATACACTTGACTTACAGGTTTCTCGGTTAGCTCATGTCTCTCCAATTTGGAGTTTCTTTCCTTTATTTGACATGCCCACACTTAAATTATCCTATCATGCTACTTCCATGAATGAAATTATCAGAAATTTTAAAGACGTCCAATTTCTTGAGACTTCCCGACTACAGTTTCTGGGAAGAGTCGTATTACCCTTGCATTGCAAGAATGCTATTTCTATGCATTGCATCTGTAACCTTAAAGTCAAAATGGAGCAACCTTACATCGCACCAAGAATCACCCTAAAATCATGACAGCATCTAGAAGAAAAAATGCAATGTTCATAAATGAGGCATGTCAATGAAGAGCGATTAATAGATTTAATACCTATAGTAATTAGTTGTCTGCTAATAAGAAGCAAAATGTCAATGATTTAGACCTGTTTGCTCCAAAACCATGAACTAAAACAAGAGCTGGGCCACTGTTCCCAGAATACTGATAGCGAATAGAATAACCCTTCCAGTTCCACGTACTGCAACAGAAAATATTAGCATTACGAAACGTATGAGAGATAAGACCAGCATGATCAAACCAATATCATCAAAAGTTTATCAATCATATATTGGGACGGTGTATAACAAAATGTATATCCTTTTGATGTTTTGAAGTTACAAATGTTTGGAGAAAAGGAAAGGGATCCTTACAATGAGAAAGCCTTTCCAAGTATCTCAGAAAAATTTCAAATCCAATTACGGCTGGCATTTATAGGCTGTTGAATTGCACAATCTAGAAATATCTTTGGATAGCCTATTTAGGAGAAAATATCGTTCTTTCCTTTTTTATATTTTCCTATTTAGAGTTAGCTTATGTATAAAATTATGTTGGATGTATAATTCAATACAGATGATGTAGGAAAAATTTCTCTCAAACCTATCTTTAATTTCTGATAAATCAACATAGGCAAATAGAATTAGCACTTGAAAACAAATACTCCATGTAATCTCATTCTAAATTTACCAGACAACTCAAAAATTGAATTTTACATCTTGACCTCAATTTCCACGGAGAAACAACACATCCAGTTCCTTAAACCACTACTATCTCTTTGATTGTTATAGTAAATGTAAGAACTTTTCCACTTCATTGATACATCTACTTTCAAAACTGTTATGAACGTTAATTATGATAAGATAAAGTTTCGTTCTTTTCACCATGAACTCTACTATCTTAACTCCCAAAATACATTCACTAACAACTAAAAAGCTGCAAATTTATTTTCAAAGGTAATCAAACTAGAAAGAAGATAAAATGGTGCTTCATTATCACTAACACAAATTTGTATTGAAGTATCAACTCGTACCCATTAAACCAAATCATAGTCATGACTTACTAAAAGATTAAAAATAATAATAATAATAATAATAATAACACCCGCAACTTTCTACAAGCAAAAAAGAAAATGAAACCAAAATGCTTTGAAAGCTCTCATGAAAAAGAGAGAAAGAACAAATAAAAAAAGGAAAGAAAGTAAACCGCCAGAACTTGAAGTTATTACAATTAATACCTGTTTTGAACATGAGGCGCTTTTGCTCTATCATCTGACGCATTCTTCTCTACTCCAACTTGATTATCAAATGAAAATGAATTTACGAAGAACCCACTTGATTTAAAGCCTGAACGCTTTCGAATTGTAAAACCATGGACATTGATTTGGCTAAAAGGGATCGGTGATGGTATTATTATATTCCTTGCTTTCCTCCTCTGGGACAATAGAACAGTAGATTGTGGGTTTGAAAAAGATAGTGCAGATGTACTTGTACTGGACATTGTTTCTCAAACCAAGGAAAGAAGAGGCTTAGAGGAAGAAAGCTTTAACACAAGGGACGGAGAAGAGCGGACTCATTTTTTGTTTTGGTTTATGTTGGCTGTTGAAACACGTAGCCAAGAAGACATTCGGTTGATAATAGCTAAAATTAGAATAATTCATGGATTTTTTCGAATTTTTAACCAATAAAAATAAGATAAAACTAGCTGTTTACCCACCTGTTGTGATCGATGCTTACAAATAATTGATAGAAATTAAATTTAATTAAAAATATAAATAAATTAATATGATAAAAAAACTGGAATCGGGTAGCTCAGAAGTAACGAGCACTTATGGAATTGATTACTATAACTTAAGCCGCGAGTTCAATCTTTTGCAACACACGTCATAAGAAAATTTTAATTTGATTTCTTCAAATTAAAAAATTAAATAAAAATTTTTAGAATAACAAAATTCCACATCACCAACTCAATTTCACAATATGATAACACATAAGCAAATTCATTCATGTATATATTTTTTGAAAACTTTACAATTCATTAATAATGATTATAAGCTTATTAAATCATAATTTTCTTGTAGGAATAGGAAACAAAAATATAGAAAATTGAAATATAATGTTCTTGAACTTGACAGAAGATGTTAATCTTTCAGTAAAAACTAGTCTATTTTCAAATAGGATAACAAAAGAAACCTTCCACGATATTGTCCTAAATATCATTTTTTTCGAAAACTTATTACAACTGACACTCGAGGAAGAGTTTAATACATCAAACTCTAATGGAGGAACATGTTACACTATTAGGCTCCATTGGTAAAAAGAACTTATCTGAACTTAAAGATCTGAAGTCTCCAACCACAAAAATCAACTTCGGCGGGCGCTGAACACAAATGAGCTGCAATTTTATTTTTGTAATCGACAGCGGCGACAACAGCAATACTAGGCTCCTGTCGAGCCCGCTCCAGCCAATTAGAGGGCTGATCTAGCGCAACAAACACCAAAAATGAACTCTTGGGTGAAATCTGAGCCAGATGGTGTGAAGAACGCTTGATTCTAAGCAGCCGCGATTTTTCGATCACCGCAAACGGCGGCGGAGGCGGTCCGGCGAGACCCGAGAAGGCAGAAGCTTAAGATTTACGCACTGATCCGGAATCTCAAATCCAATTTTTAATCTATATAATTTAAGATTCAATTTATTAAATTCAATGTAAATCAAGATTGGAAATTATGGTTTTGGGTTAAATTAATTTTAATTAAAATAATTAAGGATTAAGATTAAAATAAGAGTTTTTATAAATTAAAATAAGTTATAGTTGCTACCATAAAAATAAATTGAGAACTTTGATAAATATGGATTTTATGGTATGAATTTTGAATAAAACAAGTAAAGCATACAAATTGAATACTTGGTCATAAGAAATATGTTTATACAAGGAAGTATTAGTTTTAATAGTCAATTCAGATTTAATTAAAGAATAATATATTTCGAGTAAAGCTAATTAAGTAAAGAATTGTTTATATTGCGTGTATAAGAGATTTATTAGTTGGTGACTAGTTAAGGAAGTAAATTATATCGAAATGAAGTAAAAATATTTAAGGATGTATTGGGATTAGGTCGAAGGTTATTTTAATTTTTAAGCCATGAGTTGAACGTAAAATATGTACTTATAATGATTGGATTATTGATTGCTCGATGGATGAGCTATTCAAACAATAATCGATGAACGTATTAAATAGTTAAAACTTGAACAATAGGAAGTTCAATTTGAGAGAAAATACTATCAGAAATATCGATAAGATTTAAATTAATTAAAACAGTCCAATATCTAAGTTGATATATATTAGCTTAATTATTATTTAAGGAAAGTTATTTGTTTAATGTAGTGTTTTTCTTTATATTTGTGTTTTATCTAGATTGTCTGAGTTTGTCTATTGCTCCTGCTAGTCAAAATCCAAAGGAAGGCTTGTTCCTTCTTTTATCACTGTGAGTAATCATAAATGATATATATCATCATTTGCATACATGCATTGACCATTTCGCATCCTATAAATATATAGATACAAATGATACTCATTCTTTATTATTTTAATACTATATTATAAAAGAACATTATTTACATTATGATCATCATATAACTTATAATTTTATAAGCATATGAGAATTATATTTTTATATACATTCCATAATTACACTCATATGTGCATAATGATCTTTTATGTGATTCTCTATATTATATGAGTTGATTGAATTACTTATGATGTGACTATATTGTGCCTTGTTTGTGGGTGAAATTGGGATGAACTGGGTCACCATAGGATTGTGATGACGGTCCGGGACCGTTGGCTATATATGGGAGATCGGTGTTGTAACAACCTCCGCCCAGTCCCGTGAGACCCGACGGCGGATGCCACATCTGGTGTCGGAGACACCGTCTTAACTTAACATATAAATCATAAAATTAGATTATGATCTATGTTGACTAAGATTGGTCCTGAGTTTGTCTAATTGCTATCCACAAGTGATGGTCCGTGTCTTGATAGTATGACACATTAAATTCCAAAAGGAAAGGCTTCGCTTACCGTGTCTTAAGTCCACTGTGCTACAAGTAAATCAGAAATGGAATTAATATATCATCATTTGCATACCAATGCATATGAACCATTTCGCATCCTTAAATATATAGATACAAAGTGATACTCATATCTTTAATTATTTTAATAACTTATAGCGCTTAGTCAAAAAGAAACAGTTAAGTGATAGCATTATGGATACAATGCAATATCACACTATGAATAATATTCATAATGTAAGCATATGAGAATAATACGATGATTATATATGTACATAACATTAAATACAAGAGCCAGTCATTCTCATATGAGTGCATAATGATCTGTGATAGTGATCTCCGTGGCATTTAGTAATAAATGAAGACAATGATTGGATTGAATTGAATCTTATGATGTGAGTAAACACTATATTGTGCCTTGTTTGTGGGTGGAAAATGTGATGAACATGGGGCTACACCCATAGGGATTGTGATGGACGGGCCGGGACCGTTTGGCTGTATATAAGTGGAGGGAGATCCGGGTGGTTGGTAGAGAAACCTCCGAGCCCAGGTCCACCGGTGAGAACGCACAGCACGCCCATTACAACCATCAAGGACTGCCCACATCGTGAGGTGGTTCGATGGAGAACACCGTCTTAAAACTTAACATATACAACTCTATATAGTATTAAAAATTGAGAATGTATTCAAAAATAGAAAATAATTGAGTATTCAACCAGCTCTTACAGGCGAATAATATTTTTTAGATATTCTTTGAAAGATTACATATCTTGCGAGGAAGAATCCTACAGAAAAAATGTAAGAATCATGCTATCCCCACCTATTAAAACACCTGAGCTCGCCAAACATCGTGAAATACAAAACACTCCCAATTAAACTCGCAAACTCCCAACATCTCCAAATAATCATCAATAACACAACAGAAACTTCTATATTTTTCATAACTATATCACAACCTCCATAGCATTTTAATATTCATTCAATTAATGGTTGACAGGTTCTGGTTACATTAATATAGTATATCCAAGATTTTTATTAAAACACTAATTTTCTATATAACTGATGAGATCAACTCTCTTCAAATATTTTATAATTCAAATCATCCTAAATGAACTCTTATGCTTATCTCCAAATATATACAGGGGGAACAGCACCACGCGCGAACATAAATTGAAGAGTAAGATTACACTGCTCTCTAAATTAAATAATTACAAATAACATAAATCTGTCCGAAAATCACATAAATTCACATTTTAGTCAAATGTTCATAAAATATTGTAATTACATAAATCTCAATAATGCTAACTGCTGATTACCGCTGGCGAGAAAGGCCACTAATGAGTCTCCTCATGCTCTTAAATAGGACAATATTCGTAGATCTTCAAGCAGATATATACGCTACGAGAGTCTTTTTAATCCTGCACGTGCATAAAATATCTAAATGCAGCAGCTAGAAGTATAAATACGTTAGTAGAGCTGCTCATTATTTGCACCAGAATGCACTTGAGAAAGTTACCTGATGACCAAACATAACTGTAAAGACACGGAAAGAAATTACATTAAAAAGTCATATCAACAATCATAAGAAAAACCATTAAATTCAAACAATAAACGATATTTACATGTTAGTAGGGCTAGAGTAAGAAATAAGTCAAATAAACTATTAATTAATGACATAAATAATCATTAATTACTTTATACCATATAATGCATTAAGAACATTATAATCAACAAATATGAATATAACGTTAGTTCTTTACTTAGAATAATCCAAATAAACTTAAAATTAATAACATAAATAATTTAAATTCTTTCAACAGTGATAAATTGATTGACTTGCGAGCATATCTAATATACACAGCACCTAAATGACTATATGAACTATTTTAATTTTAAACCAACATACCGAATAGCAAAGCTCGATTTGGTCGTCAAAGGCTTTAAACTCAAAAGAAAGGTATTTCATGCTAATGGAAAATGTCACACTTTAATAATTTAACGAGAGAATCATTTAAGTAGTTTTACTCTAATAGTTATGCACAGGTCTTACTGATAAATATAGTTAAGTGAAATCTCATATTCGATGTTCTATTAAATCGTTGGCCTTAATTAAATATTGTGTTTCCTCAGGGTTCAGCGATACACTAGGAGAATGAAGAAGCAGATAGATTTTCATAACTTATTCATACATGGCCTTTGGTAGCGCAACCTTTTCAATAATGGTCTTAGGTAAAATATTCGTTAAATATCTATCTATACATAAGTTATAGAGCGCGTACCCGCCCGAAGGACATATGAAGACACCTACTGTGCTCTGATTAGCGTAATATGATTAATAAGAGCTCTCTTATCATAATGGTCATCCAATGCACGAGGCATGCTCCATCATACATATAAAATCAAATCTCGCATCAATTCACACCAAGTGCATTATTCACTTTATGGCACAGCTGCACACAAGTATTTGGGATTCTTTAGAGATTACTATGAAACTCTAACTATAAATTATGTCGTACATAAAACTTGTCTTAAACTATCATCTCAGATG